TAATCCCTTCCTGTTGTACATTTAGACTGATTTCAATTTTTACAACTGCAAAAAAGGCTATGATGGTAATCTCTGCATAGTCATCTTCATGGACTTGGTTTCTAGAAGTGTCTTTGGGAATCCTCCATCTTCTGACACAATCAGCCAATGCCCTCCATTTCTGTCTGCCTACACTCCCACACAACACTGCAGTCTGTTCAGACAGGTGTGTAACTGTGAGACTGAGAGAGGGATGGGAGCTGAAACAGGACATTTCCAATACAAAGCCCACCACTAATGAAGGCTCCTTAGGCCACACAGAGTGAGAAAGTACAGAGCATATTTGGAATCCATTTCCATGGTGCAAGCATGGTTAGGAAGGACTGGGAGATAAACGGGAAGGTGAGCTGGAGTCCTCTCACAGGAGGCTGTGACTGCCAGATGGTAGTCTGCAACTGGAGAGCGTTCAACAGTTATCTATTTGGAACATTCAATGGTTATCTATTCTGAGCCCAAATGTTTGCCAGGGCCATGGAGTTGTATAGATGTACCACTTCAGAGCTTACTGTTTGGTGGAGAGTGCCAACATGAAACCACAGACGATGTACGCACCATCCTGGGAGCCAGAAGACAGGGATGAGTTGTTCTCATCTATTTCTAAGTTTCAGCTGAGGCCTGACTCTACTCAAATATGGAACAGAGAATATTAGCCAGTGTCTCAGAAGACAGAGTTCGGCTCAGACATGTGCCAACCACAGCAAAGGTGTGTCCTTTGCTCTAGGAGAGATCACCATTACCTTCCCCTTTCTTCCTGTTACCCCAGGGGGCGGAGGACTGGTGGGGAAAATCCCACCCCTGTGTCCTGATGTCCCTTAAAAATCCATGGTCTTCAATGCATGTGGGCCCGAACCACAGGAGCAAAGGACCCCTTCCATCACCTGCTCTCAACCACCTCCTGGCCCCACCCCTAGTAGATTTCAATGATCTTCTCTCCCTTCCTCCCTTTTTGAAATGTGAGCTGCAAAGGCTTTCTTTATTTTCGCTAGGGTTTCCAGCTACAGATGCATTCAGAATGAAAATCTGGGAGGAGTTCAATGTTACAAATATGTATAAGTGACCCTTCCTATCATTTCGACGTCTCTCCTTTATTCTGTCACTGAGTACTAATACTGAATGTTGAGGTCCCTCCAGCTCTAAGTCCTCATCTCAGGACTCAAGAGTCCAGGGATCCTTAGGGAAAAGAACCCAAGGGGAAGCATAGGAAGTGTAAGCTCTTCTCCACACTTCTTCTCTAAACCACTTGACTCAAAACAGGTTCACAAGAATCCCTATCTAAGAACAAGTATCAAGCAGGAGACCGTTACTCTCTGCCCCACCCCATCTTCCCTTCCCGCTCCCTACTCTGCTTTTGCTCCCAGACATGGCTCTGGTGGCTATTCCCTTTCTCTCCTGAATTTTATTAACATGCCACGTCTGATCCACCTTTAAATAAAACAAAGCCTTCTTTCACTTTGTATCTCCCCCACCTCTCAGCAGGTCCCCCTTCCCATTCAGAGGAGCTTGCGGACCCCACTGCTTGCCCTCCCAACAGCTCCAAACTATCTGGCCTCCTATATCACCTGCGTCATGAAGGGCTTCGCCGTCTACCCTGAAATCCACGCAGAAGCCTGCACCTGCAGGTCCGGCTAGTTTCTGCTTTCTCCTCTCTTAGGAGACCAGATCCCAGGGGCTCCATCTGCACCTCCTGAACCTCTCCCGAGCTCCAACCCCATTTCTACTGCCCTCGCGAGCTCTCCACCTGGCTGGGACGAGCCTGGCCGCCCTCCTACTCCAGTCTGAAACCTCTGACACGTCTAAATCACAAACACGACCATGTTATTTCCTGCTTAAGTCCTTCAGTAGCTCCCCACACTTCTGGGGTAATGTTCAAAGTGCCTCAAAAGTCACACCAGGCACTGTGTGACCTGGCTCCTGCTCATCCTTCTCTGTGGGTCACCCACTGACTTGAGTGGCCACCGTGGGCCACTTGCATTTTCCCAAATGTAAGGAGCCTACCTCCTGCTGCCAGGACACAGGAAGGCAGAATGGTCTCAGAAGAAGGAGCAAACACCTCTTCACCTTCAAGACACAGTTCAAATGCCCCTTCTCCACAAATCTCTTCTTCTCAAGTCCCCAGGTGGAAGGACTCCTTCTTTTGTACCACTATTCCCTGTTCAGGCCTCGTACCCAGTACTCGTAGCCCCCATTGGCTGGCTTGATTTCCCTGTCTACAAGCTCTGCACAGAAATGCACGGGTCCTGAAAACACCTGGCCCTGTCAGCCTCAGATGCAGGAAGCTGAGGAGGAAGTTCTGAAACCAGAGGACAGTCTATCCCAAGGAAATAATAAAAACAGACCTACATCAAGATGCTCAATAGATGGAATATTAAACATAACAAAACAAGGAAAGAGTTTTAAAATCAGGTTTCTTTGGAGAAGAGAGTTACACACATGGAAAAGGGAGAAGACCAGAATAAACCCTATGGCACTAGACTGGAAGTATCAATGTAAATTCGTAATTTTAAATATCTAATTCTTCATTTATGCCATCTCTCTTTCTCTCTCTCTTGATATTTCTGTGTAGCTTTATATTGATGTCCCTGCTCTTTCAGCTAGGCCTAGAAGCAGTGACACCCCAGTAGCAATGTGCACACATAGTACCCAGATCTTGGTTTCTAAACATAATTCTCATTAAAAGGACTCAAGACTCCCTGGAGAAATGGTTGATTCTAGGGTTGGGGTAGGGAAGATATAAAATAAGCTTGAAACATCTTGTTGAGCCAGAAAGTAAGAAAGCGTTCAAAAAATTAAGTGGACATGTTAAAAAGACACAGGAGACTGCTAGAAATAAGGGACAGATTGAAAATCAAAACAATGACTTGCAACTTTCAGTAAAATATGAATCTAATCATCCAAATTGATAAACAAGCACATTAATAAATAGGGAGAAAAGATTTTTTTTTCTTTCTTTCTTTTGTTAATCTTCACCTGAGGATATTTCTCCATTGATTTTTTAAGATAGAGTGAGGAAGAGAAACATCAATGTGAGAGACACATCGATTGGTTGCCTCCTGCATGACCCCGACTGGGCCCAGGGATAGAACCTGCAACCCAGGTACATGCCCTTGACTGAGAATTGAACCTGAGACCCTTTGGTCCGCAGGCCAATGCTTTATCCACTGAGCCACACTGGCCAGGGCACTTTCTTTTTATTTATTTATTTTAGAGAGAGAAAGGAAGGGAGGGAGGGAAGGAGGGAAGGGGAGAGGGAGGGGGAGAGAAAGAGAGAGAGAGAGAGAGAGAGAAAGAAACATTGATTTGCTGTTCCACTTATTTATGCATTCATTGGTGGATTCTTGTATGTGCCCTGGCGGGGGACTGAACTTGCAACCCTGGTGTATCAGAATGAGGCTCTAGCCAACTGAGCTACCTGTCCAGAGCAAAAAAAATTTTCTTAAAAGCAGAGTGCCAACCAATAAATATAGAGGTTATAGAATTACAAAATCACTTTGGATGAGGAACAAAATATTTACATAATCTCAAAGTATCTCCCCACAAATTATCTAATTCTTCATTTAATTACAAAGGAGAAAATAGTACATTTCAAAAGGAGAAACCTGGCAAACAGCAACTTAACCCAGTGATCAGAGTTAAATGTCAGCATTAATGGAACCAACCGATACCATTTCTGTGCTGTTCCTGCACCATATGCAGAACCCTAATCTAGTTATGTGGAACCAGGAGACCAATCCAAATTGAGGAACATTCTACAAAATACCTGACCTGTATTCTTCAAAAATGCCAATGCAATGAAAGGCTGGGGAACTCTTCCAGATTCAAAAAGACACATGTAACCATGTGTTACAACAAAATATAACATATGATCCTGCACAAAGAAAAAGGGAATTGTTATAAAGGACATACTGGCCCTGGCTGGTCTAGCTCAGCGGTTGGAATGCTGGCCTGCGGACCAGAGAGTCCTGCTAGGACATGTACCAAAAAAAAAGGGACATACTCGGATGGCCGGTGTGGCTCAGTGGTAGAGTGTCGACCCATGCACCAAGAGGTCGCTGGTTCTATTCCTGGTCAGGGCACATACCCAGGTTGTGAGCCCGTTCCCCAGTGTGGGGCATGCAGGAGGCGGCCAACTGATGTTCACTCTCATCGATGTTTCTCTCTCTCCCTTCCTTTCACTTCCTCTCTCTCTAAAATCAATAAAGAAAAAAAAATAAATAAAAAATAAAGGACATACTGAGATAAATGACAAAATTTATATATGGACCACAGGTTAGATAACAGGTATTATATCAGTGTTAAACTTCCTGACTTTGATAACTGTACTTATGGTTGTAAATTATGAGAGAACATCCTTGTTCTTAAGGAAATGCATACTGAAGTTTTGGGGGAAAAGGGATACAACAATGTCTGCAACTTACTCTCAAATGACTCAGAAAATAGATGTAAAAAATAGATACAGCAAATCATTAAATCATAAAGCATCTGGTAAAATGTAAATATTTGGGAAATTTGAGTAAATATATCGTTCTTTGGGATATTCCTGTAACTTTTCTCTAAGTTTGAAATAATATTAAAATGTAAAAAGTTCCAAACAAAACAAGAATCCAACAACAAGGGATGAGTCAGAATTATGGTACAGTCACTTTGAGGAAGCCTTACAATGATACAGCCTTACAAATAAAGTTTACGAAGCTACATAACAATGTAGAAAAAATGCTTATCCTATATACAGTGTTGAATGATAAAAGCAGGATACAAAATATTCTGAGTGTGTATTATTACAACTATGCCAAAGAAAGCATATAAGAAACACTGGAAGGATAAAATAAAAGGTAGTAATAAGAACATTGGGGGATAGAAAGAGATTGAATGATTAAAAAAAAAAACCTGTTGAAAAAAAACACTTGCTGCCCCCCCCCCCAGCCTCCCCCAGGCCCGAGTAATGGAAATCAGTACTGTTGACTGCATCTCTTGTCTCAGGCTGCCCCTCCCCAAACACCTGGCAGAGCAGGTGTGGAGTGCCTCAGTCAGTGGGGCTACGAGTGGCAAGGTCCACATGGTAGGCAGTCTGCCAGCTCTGCCCACAGAGCAGCTTGGCAGTCCCTCTGACCAGAGAGCTTAAGCAGCTGTGGACACAGCAGAGGGGAAGCCCAGCAACAGCGCATGTTCGAGCAGGTCCCTGGCCGGGCCAGCACAGAGGCCCCTTTCAAGGCCCTCAGCTCATGCAGACAACACAGGGACCTCTCAATGGCATGCTCCCTCTCGGGCACAGACAGTAACGCTTCTTGGAACCTCGAAAGGTTTAGGAACTCTTGAATAACCTTATCATGAAGCAGAGTGCCTGGCTCTTGTCTATGGAGATAGAGAGTTAACTCCTTATCAGTCCTTGACACTTTTCAGGACGAGTTTTGATGGGTGGCAAAAAGAAGCTCAGGACCCAAGACTTTGCTATCAGAAGGCAGGACTCAGAGCACTCTGGGCAGCTTAGGGAAACAGGGTAGGCATAAAAGAGGTCTGCCTCCTTTGCAGGAAAATGGGTTTTGCCCCTCTTATTATAAGAGACATCTTTAAAACTCCTTCTCTAAAGAAGTAGGAAGAAGGAATAAACAGATCAGGAGACCCTGCCAACCTGTTGCTATGGTGGGTGGAGAAAAGGAAGCTCCGGTGCCACAGGGCAGAAGCAGCAGCAAAAGGCTGCGATCTCTTAAGGAGAGAAACTTACTCTACCTGGGCAGCACCGGGGAGTATTCCAGACCTGCTTCCCAACTGCACCCCAGCCTAAAGGAAAAAGCACCACCATTCTGAGTCACATGACCCAATTTTAAAATATTTTATTACATAATCTTTTCATGGCACCATCAGGAGTAACAGAAAACGTTATTCCCAGTTCCTAACCACATCCTGAAAAATATACATTTGTATTTATATATTTATATCACTACTCCACACCTATCCCATAATTCCACCACCTATTATAGGTCTTTTGCTTAAAGCAAGAAACTATTCTCTCAGGTAAGAAAATATATATGGAAGCTAAAGGAACAGTTAGAATGACGGACAGCTTGGCTGGGGGCGGGAGGCAGGGTGAAGTCCCGGTTAGGCAGGATGCATCACTGGGGTCCAGCAGAGGTGGAGGAGGATAGTGTATAAAAAGGCAGCGTCAGGCAGGTGGGCTCTGGTGTCCTTGGTCCATTAGGAGATGGCCTTTGCCTCAGGAAGGAAGGCTTCCCAGTACTTTGCCAGCTGCAAAGAAGTGGGGACAGTAAGCATGTGCCCCATCTAGTGGCAGAGCCTGAGCTCGGGAGGGGAGTAAGCACAATGCCACAGCACTCCCTCAGGCACATCAGCCACCCAAAGGAAGGCCTGAGGTGAGGCAGAGCTAAGGAAATGGACAGGCTTACAGTGGACCTTGGGACAGACTGACCAGCCAGCCACACTGCCCTGGTATCTCTAGACTTAGAATAACCTTTGAAGATAGTCCTGCTTCTGCCCCAGAGGAAGTACCCCTGTGGGGGCCACAATTTTGCCCGGCTCAGTTAGCTCATCATAGTGGGGGCCATTGTTTCACATACTGATTGGTGCCTCAGCCTCAAGAGGGTTAGGTGGTATCAAGGGGTTAAAGGGAGAGGAGAGTTGGGATTTGTCCTTAAAAACTAACTAATTTTGCCCTGGCCAGTTTTGCTCAGTGGTTAGAGTACTGGCCCATGGACCAATGAGTCGTGGGTTTGATTCTGGTCAAGGGCATGTACCTCAGTTGTGGTTTGTCCCGGCCCTGGTCAGGGTTGTGCGGGAGGCGGCCAGTCAATGTGTCCCTCTCACATTGATATTTCTCTCTCTCTCCCTCCCTCCCACTCTATCTGAACAAAAATGAAAAAATATCCTCAGGTGAGAATTAAAAAACAAACAAACAAAAACTAGTTCATTTTAGGATTAGGGCAATCCTGCTTAGTAAAAGACCCTACTGGATGCTCCATGTTAGAGCAGCAGGGCCTACTTTCAATTATTGATTATAGCAGGGCACAGTCCCCCCCACCCCCGCACCCCCCCGAAGCAGGGCCAGCCCATCCTGCTACAAAGCCACAAGCAGGTGGCTCCTCTGTAGAGCACACAATAGAGGACGAAAGTCATGCATAACTTACATACCTGCTGCTGTGAGTACAGCAGTGTCTCAAGGTACTTGATCACGTGGTTTCTGAAGTCCTTGGATTTCTCTTTCTATAGGAGACAGGATCTACACTGACCACCCAGACCGTGCTTCTTTCCCTCTTGATAGGATGGTGGTGATTACTGCTGAACATAGCCCAGGAAGTAGAGCCAGCAGCTGAAATAGCTATAATTTCCAGCCAAACAGCCTCTGCCAAGGTCCTGGGAGGCTTTTTTGCATGGTGGGGTGTGGTGAAGGGGAAGAGACAGGATGGGACCAGAGGGTATGTGACAGCTGCAAGCTTTATTTTGTGCCTAACTGTTCTAGCTCAGCAACAAGTGTAGGACACCCACTTTGCCTTAGGAACAAACATGAAGACACACAGACACACACACCCCCTCTTCACAACTGCCAAGTCACTGGCAGCTCCATCTGTCTCTCTACTCAACGAAATTGGACAAAACCAACACCACTGCCAAAGCAAGCACGAATAAGCTCTATCTTACCTCAAAACGTATCACTTCTTTTCGGACCACTGTTGAAATCCTTTCAAAGTCCCTTTCATACTGAGTCACCCGAGACTCCCACTGGGAAGAAAAAGAAAGAAAGGATCACTTAATGTTATGTTATCATTATTAGTCTTTGCCTTTGGACAGCAATTCTCTATATGAGACCGCAATTGGTCATTCTGTTTGTCCCTCTGGGTAAGATTAGGCGCCATCTGGGGATTTAGCATGTAAGTCAGAATCTAGCAGAGGGCCACCTTTGGGGTTGGCTGGGAACAGATGCCTGGTATCCAGGCCAATCCTGGTACTAGGAAAGCTCTGGTAACTCGACAGCCTCTGGTTTAGGTACTCACCAACTAGGCCGAGAGCCCCCGAGCAATGAATTTAGTGCCCCCAAGGGAGGCATATCTAAATTACCTTTCCAAAGACCCAGCAGGACCCTTCCAGCAGAGACTGATTTAGCAAGTCTGGGTGAAATGGGAAGAGAGGAAGAGGGCCAGGCCTCAAGGCAAGCCTGGACTCCTTCCTGGAGGCTCCCCCAGCCACTGTCCTTTAGACTCAATCATCTCCCTTGCCTGCTGTGGAGTCCTAAGGTCTGGGTAGACTGGGACCAGGGCTCATTCAGGGACCAGAAAAGACCCCTGCAGGGCTGCCTCGGGGCCTCACCTCCACGATTTCGTCCTTGGCCTGCTGCAGCTTGTCAGGCTTATTGGCCCACAGCAGCCGAGCCTCAGCCTCCCGCTTCTTCTGCAGTGTGGCCTGAGCATCCTGCCAGCGCTGCCATGTCTTCATGCGCTGGTCGAAGGCAGCCTGTGGGGGTGAGGTGTTGGGGAAGAGCACAACCAGCCCTCAGAAGCTCCACGGGCTCTGCCTGGGGGGCTCTCCCGGCAGCTGCTAGGAAAGGACCGAGCAAGGGCAGGTTTTGCAGCCGAGTGTTAACGCCCAGTTGAAGTTTAACGTCAAAAAGCACAAGCTTGGGTAAGACTCCTCCAAGCCTCCAGTGGGCCAGCGCCATGCTGCTTCATGCCACTCCCAAGGCTGGATGACTGGGACCACAGTAGATGGCCTGATGCCAGTGCCCAGTACTATAGCTTCCGAACGGCCTCCCTCAGATCAGTCAGTCCATGAATCTACACACTCTGAGTGCCTGCCATGTGCCAGGAACTAAGAATGCAGTGGAGAATGAAACACACATGGCTCTGCTTTCATGGAGCTTATACTCTACCAGAAAAGACGGCATTATATCAACAATTACCAGTAAGTAATTACAAGTATGCAGAGCACAGAGAAAACAAGCAGGGCACTATAATAAAACTGGGAACCTCGCTTAGCCTGGGAGATATATCAGGGAAGGCCAACATAAGAAAGCAATCTTTAAACTGACACCCAAATAGTATACAGGGTTAGCTTAACAGACCTTTTAACACTTAAAGCCCCGAAAGGGACATACCACTTTCATCCCATCCATACACTCCACTGCTGTAGGCTATCAAGGGCCCCAAGAAGCTCCCTAAAGCCCACTTGCTGGTTTTCCCTGGTTCTAGTCCTTTGAGCACAATCAGGATTTCCAGAGGACAGCTGCTGGCCTAATCAAACTATCCCATATCCCCACTGGCTTTGCAGGCTTCAAGAGACCACCTGGTGAAACATGTGTGCCTGTGGCCAGCCTCTCAGCCCAGTTCCATATGCTCCCCTTCCCTGCAAAACTTGAACCTCAGGGAGTGAAATGCCACCAAATTCACATTCCCCAGCAGTGTCACTGGGGTTACTTAAAATTTCTTAATAGCTCAAAGTGAAAGGATTAGGTAAAGGGTGAGACTTCATATCCAAATAAGACTCAAGCCTAACCCCCTGGGCTCACAGCGGTGTAACTCCACTTTCGGAAGAGTGAAAGATAAACATCTGCTCCTCTCTCTAATCTCACCATCAGCTCAGGATCACGAGGGCAGGTGAAAAGTCGCAGAGAAAAGCCCAGCTTGCGATTCTGCACTCTAAGGCCTGCATCTAAGGCTCAGCATCTGAAGCTCGAGGCCAGGCCTCTCACCCTTGTCCATAGGGCTCACTCAGCCTGCGGCACACCCAAGTGCTATGCCCTCCGGGGATCCCAAACAATGCTCCTTCTGAAAGTTTCCCCAGAGAGCACTCTTCCCTGGGATGGCTCTCCAGTCTAAGTAGTCTGACCAATCCTAAATTTCAAAGTAGGTTATTCTTCCAGCTTCTTATCACTCTGGAGTTAACAAACCAAATAGCAAAGGGAGAGGACAAGGAGCAACTCCACAGGCTCAATTAAGCAACTCCACCACAGAGGAAACGAGAGCCCTGGGAGCAGCTTGGCCCCCGACAACACAGGAGCTCCCGGATTGGGGAGATGTTGGGATGGGGAGTAGGCTCGTACATCCGGGTCCCAAGTCAGATCAGGAGCAAACTCAGGCCCTTACAGGGCTTTCCTCTGTCTCAGGGAGGTCATGCGAGAGCAAATACCACTGCCCAGTAAAGCTTCCTAGGCCACTCTGAAAGGTCATGGGAACCAGAGTGTCGTGGTCACCAGGAGAAAAGGTGAGGTGCTGGACCTGAGGGGCAGGCTGCAGTGTTGTTTGTTACCAGTGTGGTCAGCACAGCACACAAAGGGCTCTAGTGACAAGCTCTCTCAGCTCCCTGGCCAAACTCCTTCATGCAATGCCAAGCCAGTTCCATGTAGTTACCTGACTGCTCACATTGGAGGACAAGTGGAAGCCGGCAAGAGCTCTTACCAGGGCAAAGCCACCGCTTACTGTTAAGGAGGCAAAGACCAAAGGACTGAGGAAACAACCGCTCCAGAGCACCAAGACAGCAGGTCTGGGATAGGCCTTGCTTGGAGAAAGGAGCAGGGAGTATGCTGTCCAGCTTCAACAATGAAGGGCCTACTTGGGAATTCAAAAGTGGTCTTTTCTGCTAATGCATTTAAAACACTGGCTGTGGCCCGGCTGGTGTAGCTCAGTGGATTGAGCATCATTCCATGGACTGAGAGGTCCCAGTTTGATTCCCAGTCAGGGCATATGCCCAGGTTGCAGGCTCGATCCCCAGTAGGGGACATGCAGGAGGCAGCCAACTGATGTTTCTATCTCTCTCTCCCTTCTCTCTCTGAAAAAAAAAAAATCCAAAAACCAAAAACTGCCCGTGGGCCTCAAAATGACTTAGTGATAACCAGCTAACAGTTAAATAGATTTCTTGGTTCATAGGATACCTTTTCTCTTGAGAATAGAAAAAGATACGCCTATTTTGAGGTATAATGAATGAGATCTTCCTGGGAAGGGGAAGAGCAAAGGTAAGACAAATTAAATCAAGGAGAGGAGAAAGAGGAAAGGAAACAGAAGCTTACTCGGACTATGGCCAGGAGACGAATGTAGTCACTCAGGAGCTCGGCAAGGAGGAAGAAGTCATTGTTGGCTTGTTCCTGGTGGAGCTGCTCGATTTTTTCTTCCACCTCAGCCAGTTGGGAGAGTGCCCGTGACAATGCCGTGTTGTCCTCTGAGCTCCCAAGCATGGCTAGACTCTTTGCAAACTGGGCTGTGTTCAGCGCTAGCTCTGGAAGGAAGAAGACGGCAGAGGCCTCTCATCTCACAAGGAAAAGGGACAAGTCAGCTGGAGCATGGCAGGCCTCAGCAATGCTGCTCCTGCATATCGGGCAACCATGAGCTTTGCAACGCAGTCACTTACACCACAGCCAACTGTATTAAGAAAGTGAGGGGAATGCAGCTTGGTCACAAGAACAGGGAGAGGCACCTAGTGTCATGAGTTTAGTTAGGCCTATCTAGGAAAAGCAGCTCCAATATTCCGGAAGAGCCAAAGGCCAGTTAATACAAACAGGCCAAAGGAACAATTCTGATTTATGTTAAAGCTCATGGTAAGAAGCCCGTCTGCATGAGAGTGAAAAGACATGCACACTGGAGTTTTGCATGTTCTAGAGCAGGGCACATTTTTTTATGTGAAGAACCGGATATTTTATGCTTTGTAGGCCACCTATGTTCTTACTTGCCCGCTCTCTCTTTTTTAATTCATACCTCTAAAAATGTAAAAACTGTTCCTAGCTCACAGTAATGGGCCCTGGGCCAGATCTGGCCTATGGGCTTGGCCATATTTTGCCAACCCTTACACTGGTCTCATTCTAATGGTTTTCTGTCTGCTTAGATCCCCAATGATCAGCATGCTTAAGGCAGAGAAAGGAAGCATTCAAATTCAGCAAAATTCTCTAATTCTTAAGCATATCTCATTAAGAAAAATGTGAGGAAGGGTTAAGAGACATAACTGATTTCTCCTTATTTACAAATTGCTCATTTGACCATGTAGCTAAGGTGTGTGACATCATTTTGTGGATATAAGCCACCAACTCAAATCATACCAACAAAAGCCCACCACGTCCCAGGTCTAGTTGTACCTGAGATGGCTCCCTGCACCCCTCCCAAGTAGAAAGTACAATGCCCACAGTGGCTGAGTCACGCTTCCTGCCAGGAACTCCAGGGCATATCTTTTCGATCAGAACATCAAGGACCAGGTGGGCTGAGAGGCTTGGGAACAGCATGCCCTCCCATCTCCAGCTCACTGGAGACATCAACTTCCCCCAGCTCCAAGTGCATTTCAGAGATTGTTACCTTTCCTATGGTTGACTAGAGTTTCTACGACAGCATGCAGTTTCCGTAAGCGCTGCTCCTCACACTCTACCTCCTGGAGCTTCTCCTCAAACCACTGAAACACATAAGCCCAGAGCTTTCATGGAGGCTACTCACACAGGTACAGAGCACGGTCTTTCCTTAGCAGTTTTTAAAAAAGGGACTAAATTATCTTAAAAAGAAAATCTCTAATTTCAGACATTCCAGGATTCCTCGGGGCTTCCAACCCGTAAGCGTGAGGGAGTAAAGGAAGCTGAGCGGCAGAGGACTACTCACAATGTCTGATTCATTCATCTTGATGGTCATTTTGCTGACGGCATCTGTGGCTTTGTTGAACATCTTGAGGAGACCAGCACCACTCAATGCCTGGGTACCCACAGCACGTGGCAGCTATAAGACCAAGAAGGCAGGGATGGCAAGTTATCTGCTGCCCCTATTTTAGGTTCAGAAGAATTAGTATCTATCAGATAGCATGTCCAAAACTTGCCAAACAATTTATTTGAACTGTAGATTATTGTTTTAAAAGACACACAAATCTATCACCAGCATGTACAGAAAGAAAAATCAAAGGACCATACTAAACAGAATCAACAAAAGTTTCTGCTTTTGATACTGTGTGCAGAAAGTAAGTGTGAATGCTATGTGGCCAGGTGACCTCATGTTGAGACTGTCTACCCACCCAGGCATGAAGTACTTAAATACCAGGTACGCTTTTGTTACAAGTCAAAAGTTCCCTTGGATTAGCATACTCTGCACACTCCTGGACTTCAGGTTTAGAAAGTCTTTGAGGTTGTGCTATGATTCCATTTGGATTTCCTCCAGTGATTAAGATCCAAGGACAAGAATGTTATTTATTCAGATTGAGGCTAGGTTTAGTGATGATCTAATTAAGCCAAACACACCAACTATTTAGAAACAATTTGATTGGTTCAGTCTTTCAGTACTTTCCTAAGGCATGGAAGAGACGCTAAAGAATCTATATATACAGCATACCATGCCGAAAATTAGCTTAATTAATTTTAAAATGTATTTTTATTGATTTTTTAGTGAGAGAGGGAGAAATAGAAACATCAATCAGCTGCCTCTTGCCTGCCCCCTACTGGCGATCAAGCCCGAAACCTAGGCATGTGCCCTGACCAGGAATTGAACCAGGACCTCTCAGTCCATGGGAGGACCCTCAATCCACTGTGCCACACCAGCTGGGCTGAAAAATTAAATTTAGTGCTTAGGACTCTTAGGGCAGTAATTCTCAATTTGGTGCTATTCTGCCCCCCTGGGGACATTTGGCTATGTCTGGAGATAATTTTGGTTGTTAAAATGAGGAAGGGGGTTGCCCTGGCCAGCTTGGCTCAGCGGTTAGAGCATCGACTGGTGAACCAAAGAGCTGAAGGTTCAATTCCAGTCAAGGGCATGTACCTCGGTTGCAGTTCAGTCCCTAGCCCTGGTCAGGGTCGTGCGGGAGACAACCAGTTGATGTTTCTCTCTCTCTCCCTCCCTCCCACTCTGTCTAAAAATAAATGGAAAAGTATCTTTCAGTGAGGATTAAAAAAAAAAAACTGGGAAAGGGGTGCTACTGGCATTTAATGGATAGAGCCAGGGATGCTAACCCTACAATGCGCATGATAGCTCCTAGCCTAAAGTGTCAACAGTGTCGCTGTACACAAACCCTGCTCTAGGGGAACAGAGTGGGATAAGTGGGTGAAACAGAAGAATAAATTTAAGAGGAGGAATGAAAATATTTAAAGCACTAGATGGAATGTTTAATTAAAAACACCCATATATTTAGTAGCATTTTCTTCACTAGAATACTATATATGAAAATTTAAAAAAAACAAAAACTTAAAAACAAAATGAAAAATACAAAATGATGGTCCCACCCTCTTTTTTATTGTTAATCCTCACCTGAGGATATTTTTCCATCGATTTTTAGAGAAAGTGCAAAGGATGGAGGGAGGGAGAGAAAGAGAGAGAAACAATGATGTGAGAAGGACACACTGATTGGTTTCCTCCCGCAGGCCAGGGATCAAACCTGCAACCCAGGTATGTGCCCTTCACTGGGAATCGAACCTGGGACCCTTTGGTCTGCAGCCTGATGCTCTAACCGCTGAGCAAAACTGGCCAGGGCAATAGTGCCGGCTCTTTCATTTATTTCCTTCTAGCATTTCTTTTGATCTTTAATGAATAATGTATTTCTATACCTGTATTTTTAAGCTGTTTCATATTTCGCTTTATAGAATTCTTTTAATATATGCGTCCAGCAAATACATATTAACATTTCTGTAAACTTTCCGTTTATCATGCGAATAAAGTACTTGTTTTACTGATATGTTTTACTTAATTCTTCAATTGTTAGCAATTGGGCCATCTCCAATTTCTCACAATCATGAATAGCCTACACATAGCCTGTAAAAAAAAAGACTGTCCATTTGAATCAACACTTTTGCTACATGGCAGTTCTGTGGTTTTTGGTAACTGGTTTTGAACCAATGCCCCTCAGCTCCTGGCACAAAAAAAATGTATTCAATTTGAGCCAAGTAGTAACCTATGAAAGATGTGCCAAGGACTTGCCAATAGATCATTGTGTTGATCCAGTAAGAAAACTAGGTTGCAGTGTGACCTCTACAACCAGTTGCTTTTGACTATTGGCACAGCTTCTTTTCTTTCAAAGGCTGAAAAATACTTGTCACTCTCAGGGGTTTAAAAACTAGGATATGGTCTGGTACTAACCTATATGCGTATTAAGTGTTCAAATATTTGTTGAATGAACTAGTTTCACTTCACTAGGGACAACTATAAATTATGAAATTCAGTTTGTACGATACTAACCTCTTCTTTTTCCAAGAACTCCCTGACATCAGGGTCCTGTAACATGGTAGGATGGTTCACAATCCTCTGAAGGTACCTATGGAGTAAGCAGTTATTTGGTTAGTCAGGCTGGCCTCAAAGGATTTGGGTGTCATACAGTGCCGGCAGGGTTACAATGTCTTTCATTACTTTCAAATGGACTCAGAGAAGGCACTTAAGTATAACTCTGCTTGTAAGCACATTCAAGTTCATGTTCTTCACATTTCTAAAAGAAGAAGAAAATAACTGGTCAGGAAGAGACCTCAGAGTTATTCATACTTAATTGTCCAAGGAGAGCATGACTGTCTGCCTGCCTATTCAGGACGGGGAAAGAAAAGATGGCCTGTTCCTAAGCTGGGAAGGCAAGAGACTTAGGAGAAAAGTCAGACATACTTTAAAGGTGTGAGTCTTTAATTCACCCAAGTTTCTCATCTCCAGTGAACGTCTCACAGTTGAGTCTAAGGCTTCAGTTTCTCACTAGTTCTCATGTTATTCAGGAAAATGGTTGTATGGCACTTACCTTTCTAAAGCAGCCCTCCGTTTTTCAAGAAATTCTGCAGAAGAGGAATCTTCTTTCCCAACTTTTACTTTCGTCATTCCTGGAATAGAATTTATAAAGCAAAAATAATTAATAATCATCATAAAATGAATAAACTGGGGGGGGGGGGGAAGCCCACAGGAGGAAAGGCAATGAGAACAGCACTATAAAACAGAGCCAAAGGCCACTTCTATGTCACCAGCAGGCATTAACAAAAGGTTATTCACCTGAGAGTCATTTGTGATGAAATTAGTCTCAAAGTGCTGAAGATTCTAAACTCTGGGACTTACAGAGTCTATATTTTCTAAAAGGGGGGCCATGGGACTCTGAGTATAGATTAAACACCAACTGAGGATGATGGGAAGGTTCCTTGACCCCCAATCTCCAAACCTCCATCCCCATCCAATTTACATTTCAATTTGAAAGGAGGAGCAATCATTTAAGTTTCCTGGATACCAATACAAATACACACACACACCCCTACCTGTGGACGCTAACACCAGAACTTTCTACTATACCCAAGGAAAGAGAACATGTTAAAACTTGCTATTTCTCTAGACCTCATGAGACTTATAGAAAAACATTGGAAACATTTATTTCCAAATCACAAGACTCTACATTGTTATATGAAGTAGTTTCATATACTAAGTAGAAAGTATACTGCAGAAGAAAGCAAAGAATAAAAACCTAAGCAGAATTGAAGGCCACAGGCTTACCTATTAGGCTCTTCTCAGGTGGAGGAGGGACAATGAAGCCATTCTGAGAGTGTTTCTCTGAAAGCTTCTCGTAAAGACCCAGAAAGTCACTAAATCTTCTTTTCACTGCAAACTGTTTACTTCTGAACATTGGTAAGCTCGTCTTGGGGACAGAAAAAACAGAAGGTAATTTCATTCCAAATAAGGAATGAAGGAGTATCTTGACAGTTGTCCAGCTAACATCAAAGAATTTATTTCCCAGATCCCTGTCTTAGCCACCTGGTAAACAACTTTGTCCAAGGCTGCGATTCTTAAATACTTTTTTGAGCTATAGTCTGGAGTCTACAGAGCTCTTATCAGAATAATGACTTTAAATGCACAAAGTATATAGGATTACAAAAGACAATTAATTCAATTCAAGCATACAGTTTTATTCCCAGATTAAGAACCCCTGCTTTAAGGAAACATGTTGAAGTCTAATATAAAGTTAGAATTCTATGGTCACTTATACCCCATTCATCCTGCACTGATTTATTAAGGGTATCAGCTGCTAGAATTAAAGCAGCCAAACTAAAGACAAGACAGAGCTTCTAAGGAGGAGGATCACATGAAATGTCTATACTGTAGAAACTTTAACCCCTAAGGTGTCACAGGATCTAGAATGTACAGGGAGCAGAAAGACAAGTAGTAGAGAGAGAACACAAAGGAGATGTCTAGTAAAAAAGACTAGGCCAACGTCATAATGAGAGACCATTTAATACTCACCAGATACGCAAACTTTAAGGAGTATCAATAGGAACTTTTACACACTGCTGACAGGAGTATAAATTGGTACAAAGACTTTTTAAAAGTTTGTATTCCTTTTTTTCAACATTTGCATGACCCAGGGAAACTATTCCCGGTTATATACCCTACAGAAACTCTTCTATGTGTACACAAGGAGATGTGTGCAAGAATGTTCACAGTTCATAAAAACTGCAAACATGCCAGATATTCACAGCATAAAAACATATACATTATGCTATAATCACACAATAAACTAACTACAGCTACACACAACATGAATGGGTCTGAGAAATAATGCTAGTAAAGAAAGCACTATTTTCAGTATGATGCCATTTTTATGAAATTCAATAAAGCGCAATGATATATTGCTTAGAGATACAAATGAAGACTTTTTTAATTTTTTTATAAAGGAGAGACAACTCAGGAGAGTAGTCACTTCTAAGGTGTGAGGCAGGGGATATGACAGGGAGAGACACACAGGTGGATTCAACACTACTCATCTTAAGAATGGTGGTATGGCCTGGGCCAGTTTGGCTCAGCAGTTAGAGCATTGGCCGGCTCCCCGGTTTGGTTACTGTTAAGGGCACGTACCTCGGTTGCAGTTTGTCCCTGGCCCCGTTAGGGTCGTGTGGGTGGCAACCACTCAACATGTCTCTCTCACATCGATGTTTCTTTCTCTCTCTTCCTCTCTCTCTCCCTCCCGCTCTATCTGAAGATACATGCAAAAATGTCCTTGGGTGAGGATTAAAAAAAAAAAAAAAGAGTGGTGGTATGGCTCTGGCTGGTTTGACTCAGCAGTTAGAGCGTCAACCCACAGACAAATAAGTCGCGGGTTCGATTCGGTCAAGGGCACGTACCTCAGTTGCAGTTCGTCTTGGCCTTGGCCGGCTCGTGAGGGAGGCAACCAGTCAATGTGTCGCTCTCACATCGATGTTTCTCTCTCTCTCTCTCTCTCATTTCCACTCTATCTGATGATAAATGGAAAAATATCCTCCAGTGAGGGTTAAAAAAAGAAGAATGGTGGTAGGTCTGGGGCTTCGTTTTTTATGCTTCATAACTGGCATACAACATTGTGTAAGTTTTATATGCATTAATATTATATAAAAAAGGAAGACCAGACCTAACTAAGGGAAAAAGGAAAGGTTAGAGAAAGTATTAAAAGAAGCTCCATAAAGGAAACCTCAGAAGAACTGACAATTTTTAAACAGGTGATATATACTTTGGGGTAACCCACCAAACGAGCTCTAAGCCACAGAACTTAGCTCTAAGAGGAACAGGACTATATCAGACACACTGCATGTCTTAAAACTTACAAAGTTTCACACTGAAGTGTTAGCTTTCTGGAAGAAAAGTGGGAAGGTTCAGATGAGATTACCAAGGGGATATCCTGCAGGCTTGCTCCATCTTGAGTAAACTTGAAGGAAGATGTTGGCAAAGAAACAAAAGAAATACCCAGAAATAATCTGAATGATCACCTTCTTGGTATAAGAACCCAAGTCTATTAAGGTAGTCGTCAGCAGGGTCACTTGGACTCACCTGTGTTGTAACTTTATAGGCTACATAGGCATTCATACCGTCCCCTGTGGGAGGACAAGAAAGCAGGAGAGGATTATTCTGTAAACAGTGCTAATCTTGTTAACATTTAACCAGGCATCATAAGGCACAGGAGCACTGTATAAGAAGGGATACTTGTTTCATCTCCAAGCTTTATAAACTATCCTAAATTCAGTTCCTACTTTGCCTCAAGGCCTCCATGCACATCATGCCCCATGGATGCTGGCTGGGCCCCAGTTTGAGTTAGACAAGAGTCAGCCCCTGTGCAAAGCCAGGCTCCATTTATGCCCTCCACAAAGCAGCACTGGATACTGACAATCCATCAGTTGTTACCATGCCAATATTTGGGCTGGTTGCACCCATCTGTCTAAAACCAAACAATTCTCTTGCTGTATAAAGCAGGAGGAGGAGAAGGAAGCAACTGATGTAAAAGGAAACAAGTAGTTCTACCCTAAGCTAGCTCTGGGCTTGGTTTGCTCTTTCAGAAATACTGTCACAGCCCCCTCCATTGGTGCTGGGGGACATTGACCTCTCTCATCTAGTATGTTCACCCAGAGCAAAAGGCCTGGCCGGAAAAGACTTCAGCTGCCTGATGTCACAAAAATCTCTTTCCTGGAGAAATTGTTTTTTTGAAAAAGCCTTTGACTGTTCAATAATTTGGGACTCAAGCAACTGATTTTCTCTGTATTAGTGTCCTGACATAGGCCAGTTAGGGACATAAAGGCATCACATCACTGACTCCCTGAGCACCAAAAAGACATACAATGGATTGTAGATAGAGCTCCAGTGCTAGACTCTGGTGCATGGCATTGATTTTGCTCCTTTCCTCCCCACGTCTCGGTTCTCCCCCCACCAAACAGGAAACCTAGGTCAACAATTACTACTTGCTTAGCTTCTGAACTGGTCGTGGGGTAAGGGCCCAGGGGAGGTGCAGTACTGGTTCAGCAGGGTCACATACTGCAACTTGGGTTCAGTCAGACAGCTGGGAAAGTACACTAAGAAGCTGGAGCTTACACAGGAATAGAGGGCTTGCCTTCTCTACCTCTCTCCAGCCCCTACCAAGAGTATGTATAAAATGGAAATCATATATTAAACTTTAAAAATTACTTTACACTGATCATTGCTGTTAGTTCTCTTCTAAACCACTCATACTGCATTGCCTAATACTACTAAGGATGCTTACCACTGATAAGAGGAAAAAGATATCTAGATTTACTTTGTAGAAAAAGTATTCATAATTTCATTCACAGTTTAATAGTCATGGTCAACTATCCAAAAGGTCAATCCCATAATCTACTGCCTTCAATTAAGGAGAGTCTAAGTGCATATATACATAAAACACAGTAGAACAAAGCAGGATCTCCAGACACATTTCCTCATCGGAACAGGTAATACGCAGGCAATGTGTAAGAGAATAGAAAGACTTGCATGTACACAGAACTCACAAGATATAGAAATGGACTAGTTATACAGCAATTTTAAATTTACATTAACTTCCTAAATAATTTCAGAAAGTTTAAGATGGCATATGTAAATTACCAAGATTCCAAAAAGCATGTCCTGATTGAAGTAGGATTCTAATTGACTAAAACATGTGTGGGAATGAGAACCACGTGTTGAATAAACAGCCCACACAAACAGAAGGTGTTCTGATAAGATCAGGCCTTGAATATGAAAATGCTTTAGGCAGCTAGTTTCTTGGCATCAACATGACTAAGGGGGTGAAGGCGTATCACCAAAAGTGATTTGTATTTAAATATGATCCATGTAATTTTAAAAAATGGATTGAATTGTGTCCCCTAAAAAAGTTATGTTGAGCCCTGGCCAGTTTGGCTCAGTGGTTAAGTGTCAGCACGTGGACCGCTAATAAATACCTTAAAACCAACGTGCTTCATTCATAAACATTAGAGAGGCAACAAAGAATTCTGAACATGTAATCCAGAATTTCAGTCTAGGCTCTACCATGGACCACACTGTGCCATGACAAGAAAGCTACATTTCACTATTGGTCCTCAGTTTCCTCTGTTGTTGGATAAGGAAACTGTATAAGATGCTCATAAGTATCTTACTAGTACAACAGTCTAGGAAAAGTAAAACTCAACATTTTAATGACAAACTATTTTGGCATAAAGTGTAATCAGACTTTATAAATTCCTGTTCAGCATAGACAAAAGGTTGGAAATTACGTTTTTCCTCTTAACCACAGAAACACCATGCCTCTGTCAGGGATGTAAAGGATATACCCGCAACACGGAAAGTTGAGGCCTATTGCTCTCTGCTCACTAATAGCTTTTATAAGTTTGGGGCATGGGAAGTCTATCCTAAAAATCCAAGTTCTGGCCAAAGTTAAGTATTGTGCTTTTTGAAAATATAATTTCAGTTTGACTAAGAGTCAACCTGGGTATTTTTAGTCTTGACCTAAGAAAGAGAGGTGCAGACCTCCCCACTTCACGAGGATATCAAAAGTACATGATAAATGATATGTAACAAGAATTCCAAACTTCCTGAGGGAAAAATAAAATTCAGTATCTCCTAATTATAAAACATGTTTTGTTGGGTGTTTAAATGGAATTTATGGTCTCAAAAGGGAATAAGATGGTCTCATCAACTCTGTGGAGAAGGCAATGTTTGGGTTTTTAAACAGGGATTCTAATAGTATTTGATGTCTCTGATTTTTCTGCCTAAAGCCAAGAAAAGCCTAAATAAAGTAATGGGTAACTGATGTTTCTGTTCTTAGAAGGATAGTAAGGAATATAATTTTACAAGAAAGATTATAAGGAAGTACAATGGCTAGTTCAGTTCTAGAGGTAACCATCTAGAAATTAGCAAACTATACTTTTCCCCCCAGCCACATCCTGACATCACAGGGAGTCCCAAGTATACTTACCTATCTTCTCAGGATCAGTTATACCGACTGTCAAATCAAATTGGTCTTCCTGTTCTTCCTCCTCTAGCTTTTAAAGAGGACACAAACATGAGAGTTGATACCAAAAAAGCTATTAATTTTACCCTGTATTAATCTTGTATCAGTATTGTATCTAACATCAAGAGGCCTGGCTGGTTTGGCTCAGCGGTTAGAGCGTTGGCCTGTGGACTGAAGGGTCGCAGGTTTGATTCCTGCTCAAGGGCACATTACCTGGGTTGTGGGTTCGATCCCCAGCCCACTTAGAGTTGTGCGGGAGGCAAACAATCAATGTGTCTCTCTCACGTTGATGTTTCTTTTTCTCTCTCCCTCTCCCTCCCTACCACTCTGTCTAAAAATCAATGGAAAAATATCCTCGGGTGAGGATTAAAAAAAAAAAAAGATATATCCTTCTACGTATCAGTGTTCAGCTGTCCATTCCCAACAATCCCAATGAACCAACTTCCACAATTTTAAGTTGGAGTCTGCTCAAAGGTCTTTGTTACATCTATTATCTTAAAACCGTATTTTGATCAGAGTGAGTAATTACCAAATTTTGGAAAACTTGCCTCTGTCAGGGTAAAGAGGGAATGAAGAGACTATACTCTTGAACATGGAAGCTTCAGACACTAAATATCATTAGTGACCACTGAAGCCTCTGAATTATCTACTGGGTAATACATACTTTGCCCAAAAAAGAAATCCTTTATTGGATTCTGGCTATCAATTAACCACAAATACCTTCTTTTTTTTTTTTTGGTATGTGCCCCTAGCGGGAACCGAACCCGGGTCTCTCTGGACCACTGAGCCAAACCGGCCAGGGCCATAAATACCTTCTTCAACAGTCATTAATATTTACTCAAGGTTCACACTCAACTCAACTTCAGACTGGCAACACAGATCTAAAAATCCTAAAAAAACCAAGACCAGAAGCAGATTCTCACCTCCTCGTAGCTTTGCTGGGGCTTAGGAGAATCTGTGGCTTCCTGTGAAGGGAGAGATATGAGTGTTTTGGCTGGTACCTTCTTCTGATTATTCTGTGTGCTGTCCAGTGAAAGCTCCACTGTGGCATCTAAAAATAATTAATTTTATAACAAAGGTCAATAATGGGTCTTTCGTAGCTGAACTTTAGTTCTATAGGCTGTGACAAGAACAACAGAAACCACTCTCAATACTCAGAGGTTCTCGGACTAAGAGAATAAGAATCAAGGAATTTTTTACATGGATAAAAGCAGAGGATGGTAAGGGAAGTATTCTTCTAGCACAAGGTTAGTAGAGCAACATCTCTCATTTCTAAATAGAACTACTTGGCTACCTTCTCCTACATAGAATTTAGGCAAGAACCAGCTATTAAGCAAAAAGACTACATAGCCAAAGTAAATGTGCTAATTTACTTTACTCTTAGAAGCATTCCTTTAAAGCCTTATCTAAATCCTATTTATTTATTTATTTTTAACATATTATCAGCGACTCTAATATTTATTACTATTACTTTTTTCTTTATTGATTTTAGCGGGACAGGAAGGAAGAGGAAGAGAGAGATAGAAACATTCATGAGAGCCCTGGCCGGTTTGGCTCAGCGGTTAGAGCATCGGCCTGCGGTCCTGAGAGACCCGGGTTCGGTTCCCGCTAAGGGCGTGTACCTTGGTTGCAATTTGTCCCCGGCCCTGGTTGGGTTGTGCGGGTGGCAGCCACTCGATGTGTCTCTTTCACATTGATGTTTCTCTCTCTCTCTCTGTTCCTCTCTCTCCCTCCCACTCTACCTGAACAAAAAATGGAAAAATGTCCTCGGGTGAGGGTAAAAAAAAAAAAAAAGAAAAAGAAACATTCATGAGAGAGAACACTGACTGGCTGCCTCCTGCCCACCCCCCAATGGGGATTTGGCCCACAACCTGGGTGCGTGCCCTGTCTGGGAATTGAAACGGCAACCTCTTGCCACATGGGTCGACGCTCAACCACTGAGCCACACCAGCCGGGTAGATTACGTTATATTTAATATGTGTGGTCCAAGAAGGATAAAAAGACATGTGTAATATCTAAAAATCTTTCTAATCAAAACAGTTTTTAAAAATAGTGCTTAAGAGCTGCCTTTGTCTATCTGGAAAAATTTCCTTGAACAGAACAACTCATTCTCTAAGTAATCTAGAGAGGGTACTTTTAAAAGAGCATTATGTACCATTTTTAGGCATTAACATGTTTTAGGCAAAAAAAAAAAAATGCACTTTCAACTCAGAGCAATGGAGCTAGAAGTTCCACACCTAAATAGTTCAGATTTTGGTTTGGCTTGATTAGTCAGTATTCAATTTTAGCCCTTAGGGAATTCAAAGAAAGTGGTTTCTTTTTCTTTTTTAGACTTTCATTTGGAGCTAAAATGAAACCAGAGATGGAGGCCTATAAGGCGTAACCAAATCCTACATCAATGTGCTAATCATTAAATGTGAATCATGTCTACAAACAAGGTTGTCACACTGTTGGAATCCAGTCCCTATCAGGAAAAAAAGAGAGGTGGTAATATAATCTGATGCTGATATGGGCATACAAAACAAAAAAGTATACATAAGAATTTAGGATTCTTTGAAACAAGCAACTAGCTGAAGTATGTTCAAGATATTCACATCATGTAGTCCCCACATAAATAAGTTAACAAATGTGTTTGGAAATGAAACAAGAAGAGGCGCTTCTTATTTAAAACCACTGGCTTAATGGAGTGCAACTAAGAGTCTTTTGAAGAGCTGTGGATTTTCTACTGAAATTCATGTGACAAAGATGTCAAAACTTACACTAAAAATGCTTCTTTCTCTGTACTCCAGCGCTCCTCCCCACCCCTGTACTTTTGATAAGAGTGATGTTAAAGCCTTTGGGCTCCATCCATCACAGAGACTCTGATCATCACTAAACTAATCATGTGGAAAATATAATCAGAACATCTGAGAAGTTACTAAAGTCCTAAACTAAATGTCTCACTGTAAGCATTCCTTTCTGTAGATATATTTTGTTTTACCCTCACCTGAGGACATTTTTCCATTTTTTGTTCAGATAGAGTGGGAGGGAGAAAGAAAGAGAAACATCGATGTGAAAGGGACACATCAAGTGGCTGCCTCCCACACAACCCAACTAGGGCCGGGGACAAACTGCAACCAAGATACGTGCCCTTGGTGGGAAGCGAACCCGGATCTCTTTGGACCACAGGCCGACGCTCTAACTGCTGAGCCAGCCAAACCGGCCAGGGCTGTAGATATTTTTAATTCTTTTTTAGTAGTGAGGCAGGTATTGGCTGGTTATGAAAGTAGTAGGGGAATGAAGTAAATCAGAATCCTCATTAGTAATAAATATGTCCCTAATAAAGATCTGCTATATGTTCACATGCATAAAACACAACCATAGGAGCAACTCAGTTACACTAAGATTTCAGATCTTCTTAGAAAACCTTCTTTTCAACTTGCCACATATCTAAAAATAATTCATTATTTTGCACTTTTCCAGAAACTTTATCCAAAAAAATAATCACTATCAGAATGAATAAAGAGTGTGTACTTTAAGTTTTAGAGATGAAAAAAATTGAAAAATCTTCTAAATCTTTATAGACCTTCTAACCTTTTCTTCCCTTTCAGGTCTTTTAAATTTCCTAGCTGAATTCTAATGTGGTCTTCCCAGAATCTTAATCTTCCACCCTCTCATCCGGCCCCTTCCTCACCCTTTTTCCCTTCAAGGAAGGATTCCATTCCCATGGCAGCTTCCCCTCTATGAAGAGGTTCTTCCAGTTCTTCCCTCTTACCCCAGGTAGAATACCACAGTTCAAACCACCCCCAGGGCATTTCCCTTTGCATTTCAGATTTAAAGTATCTAAAACCCTAACTCACTTTCCTCTCAAAGCCAGTTTCTTCTTTAGAATGTAGTTCTCAAATAGTACCATTTTCTTCTCAATCCTTGGACTTGAAACCTTTAAATCTGTCTTCAATGCTGATTTTTGGACACTCATTATGTGTTGATTTCTCTTTGGAAAGTTTTCACCTTTCCCTTCCTACTTCCATTACCTTATTTTTGCTTTGTCATTTCATTTTTTAACTAATTTGTGAATGTCTTCTTAAGTCTCTAGTCTTTGCTGCAATCCATCTTATATAATAATTCCACTGGATCAATCTTCCTAAAACATTATGTTGCCCATATCACTTTCCTTATTCAAAACTGCCAATGGCTCTTAATTGGCCCCAGGATGAAAATTTAACCTAATTATGAGGTTAAATTCTAAATTATGAGGATATCTAAAATCCTCATAAACTAGGAGACCTGACTTGGGATGGTGAACACACAATGCAATATACAGATGATGTACTATAGAATTGTACACTTGAAACCTACATAATTTTATTAACCAATGTCACCTCTACAGATTCGATTAAAAATAAAATATAGTGAATGTTAAACCAAAATAAATAAACAAACAAACAAACAAACACATATAATCCTCCTAAAATACATTCCCAGCCCTATCTTCCATGGCTTCTCTAAGAGCTCCGGGCTTGGCTCACCAGTTTTACTGACCATCCCTCAAACACACCTTATACTTCCTCCCAACCATTTGTACCTTTTCTTCTTTCTTCCTACATAAATTTTGCTTCTTCCAGAAAATCTTCCAAGGTCACTCTAGAGTAGAATTTCTCAATGTGGGCACTACGAACATTTTGGGCTGGATAATTCTTTGGTGTAAGGGTCTGTCCTGTGTATTGTAGTGTTCAGCATTCATGACATCTATACACCAGGTACTGGTCTCATTTACAGGTGTGACAACCAAAAATGTTTTCACCATGGCCAAATGTCTTAGCAGGGAGAGGGAAAAATCACCCTGTTGAGAACAGGGACGTGCCTTTCAACAAAAAAAATTAGTGGGCTCAAAATGTTAATAGCACCAATTTTAAGAAGTCCCCGTTCTATACTAGTGTTTTTCAAACTGCAGATTGTTTAATAAAACTTGTGCCCAGCCGGTGTGGCTCAGTGGTTGAGTGTCGACCCATGCACCAAAAGGTTGCTGGTTCGATTCTGGGCACATGCTCAGGTTGTGGGCCCAATCCCCAATAGGGGGTATGAAGGAGGTGGCTATTCGATGTTCTCTCATCGATATTTCTATCTCTCTCTCCCTCCCCTTCCTCTCTCTCTAAAAACCAATGAAGAAAAAAAACTTATTTCAGTTTTATACAAGTATGTATATATTTTGGATGATAATATAAAATGTATTTCATACTACGAGTCTTGGTCATAAAAGTCTAAATCCACTGCTTTAGTCTGATCTCAGAGCTCTCTCAGATTCCATTACTTAGTATTTCTATCATTCCTCTGATTACATTTATAGTACTGTTTAACAGTTTGTCTAGTTGACATTCTTAAGTAACTGTATATTTATGTCTTAATCCCTAAACCTGCAAGAATATTGATGACAGGGACTGTGTTTTATATGTTTGGAATCCTCCACAATCCTATAGTTAAGACTCTAATATGTATAATATGTAGACATGTATTTTTTTGGGGGGAGGTTACTTTTAGCTCAGTAATTTAGAAGATTCCTAGTACAAGTATTGAGTCCATACTTGCCTGCAAAGAGATCCTGTGGCTCTTGGTCTTGTTCCTCATGGATTCCATTTTCTTTGGAGCCACTGTTGATAGGAAAGGAAGTAATTCTCTTTGGAGACTGGGGCTTACTCTAAAAACAAAGAGATACTGTGAATAAGAGAGTACCATTAAAAAAAAAAACCTATAAAGTGCCTTTTTTTTTATTTTTGAGAAAAATATTTATTCTGGCCCTGGCTGGGTAGCTCAGTTGGTTAGAACATTGTCCTGATATGCCAAGGTTGTGAGCTTGATCCCTGGTCAGGGCACATACAAGAATCAACTGAGAAGGAGAAATGTGATTGGACAGGTTATCCCCCCTGTCCCAAATCATCTCTCTCTCCCTCACTAAAATCAATCAATCAATAAACTAATTTTATATATGCATGTATGCATAACCAACAGACACAGACAACAATGCTAGGGGGAGGGCAGGATGGGGAGGTAGGTGTCTAGGGGGGAAAAAGGGGAAATATCTGTAACAAAAATAAATAAATAAAAATTGGGAAAAATAATTAATTAAATTTTTTTAAATGCATGCCAAGTTAGAGTGTTGGCCCACAGACCAGAAAGTCTTGGGTTTGATTCCAGCCAAGGGCACGTACCTCAGTTATGGTTTGCCCCTGGCTCTGGTCGGGGTTGTGCAGGAGGCAGCCAATCGATGTGTCTCTCTCACATTGATGTTTCTTTCTCTCTCTCTCTCCTACCCCGACCCCCATTCTATCTGAAGCTATTTGAAAAAAAATCCTTGGGCGAGGATTAAAAAAAAAGCAGCCTGTAGACAAGTTCCTTGTAGCCCCCCCCCCCCAAAAAATCTGAATCTTAATTTAAGGCAATATGCATTTTTTCTTTTAAAAAATATTTTATTGATTTTTTTTAGAGAGAGAGAGGAAGGGCAGGGAGAGAGAAAGAGAATTAATATGACAGCAGAACATCGATTGGCTGTCTGCTACACGACCCCTTATGGGGGATGGAGCCCACAACTGGGGTATGTGCTTTGACCAGGAATCAAACCAGCAATCTCTTGGTGCATGGCACAACGCCCAACCAACTGAGCCACACTGGCCAGAGCAAGGCAATATGCATCTTGATGACATTATTGGTTTTGTCCTGATTGTAACTTTCTCATGGCATACCGTGATAGGATAAAATCCAAATTCTTTTTTTTTAAAATATGTTTTTATTGATTTTCCAGAGAGAGAGGGGAAGAAACATCAATACAAGAGCGATACATTGATTGGCTGCCTCCTGCACGCCTCCTATTGGGGTGGAGCCTGCAACCCTGGCATGGGCCCTGACCAGGAATCAAACTGATACCTCTCAGTCCATGGGATGACGCTCAATCCACTAAGCCACACCAGCTGTGCTAAAACTCAAATTCTTACTGTGCCTTCAAGTATGTGAATCACTGGTTCATCTTCTTTTATTTATTTTTAAATCCTTACCTGAGAATATTTTTCCATTTATCTTCAGATAGACTGGGAGGGGGGAAGAGAGAGAGAGAGAGAGAGAGAGAGAGAGAGAGAGAGACAGAGACATTGACTGGCTGCCTCCTGCATGACCTGTGGACTCAACTGCAACTGAGGTACATGCCCTTGACTAGAATCGAACCCAAGACTCTAGTCCGTGGGCTGATGCTCTAACTGCTGAGCCAAACTGGCCAGGGTCTTTTTTTTTTTAATTAAATTTATTGGGGTGACAATGATTAATAAGATTATGCAGGTTTCAAGTGTACAATTCTATGAAAGTAATTTTTAATACACCCTTTGGTCGCTCCTACAGGTGTTTAGAAGACAGGAGCACTAGTTAGCCAGTTCAATAAGGAGCGAATTAATATTATGGGTATAAGTGCTGCCCAAGTAATCACAGAGCTTAAATAAACTCATACATTTTAGAGTTAATTTCTAATACCATAACTTTGCTGAAATGCCCTACCCTAAAGCACACGATACTGATGTGGGTAAGTGTACACAGAGATAATTTTCTTTCTTTGTTTTTTTAAATCCTCACCCGAGGATATTTTTCCATTAATTTTCAGACAGAGTGGGAAGGAGGGAGAAAGAGAAAGAGAAAGAGAAACATCGATGTGAGAGAGACACATCAGTTGGTTGTCTCCTGCACAATCTCAGCCAGGGCTGGGGATCGAACTGCAACTGAGGTATGTGCCCTTGAAGGAACTAGAACCAGCGACTCTGGTCTGAGGGCCCACACTCTAACTGCTGAGCCAAACTGGCCAGGGCCACAGAGATAATTTTCAATAGAACCTGTCCAAAAGCATTCCTTCTCAGCTGATGACCTTTATTCTTTCTTTCATTTATTCCTGTGCGCCTCCTGCCAGCCCCAGCCCCCTCCGCCCACCCCTCCAGCCTCTGCCCGACCTTTATTCTTTCAAATGCTGATGGACACATTCTGGTGACCAGGACACTACACTGGAGTCTAGAATTTAAGCTTACGTTGTGACCTGGCTAAACTGTTCACTGAAGCCCGTTGTATGAATATTACCAACCCCTCTGAGGGGTAAAAGAAGGTTTAACACTTTACATCTAAGGCTGTTTGTAAACATAACTTATCTTTTCATCCTTAACTTACATATTCATATCTAACAGAATAAAAACCAGTCATGCTTAGCTTAGTGGGTACATAGTGAAAATACAGTCAGTCCATAGCCTTTATCAAAAGCTCAGTGATCAGCCACAAACAAGGGTGGGGAGAGACTGAGACCAGTTACCAGAATAAACAAAGCTGGATTGTGCAGGACATGAACAGAAAGCTGGGAATCTGGCTTCAAAAGCCACACGTTATGGTTTCACAAGGTTTTGAAGTCAGACCCCAAGGCCAAATCAGTTAAAGATCTGATTTACGGAATCTTTTATGAAACATTTCCTTAATAAATCTGAGGAATTTTGTTCCTTAGAAACAGAACTTTTCTGACCCAAAATAATAGTGAAATGAGAGATCTATTGAGTACTCTAAATATGCCATGCAAACAGCTCCATCCCAATATTGGGACCACCCTCAGGGAAAGAAACTGCTACCAATATTTAGTTTTCTATTTGCAAACAATGTTTCTACTGGAATTTTTCCTATGTTAATAAAACTTAATGAACACTTAGTTGTATATACTTAAATGTTACACCAACTGTTAGAAACTTTTAGCTGCTCCTACAATCTTAAAAAGCAGACACTGACAAAAATAATAGGGCAAAAACAAAATTCACATTTCCCTTTTGCCTCACACATTGCCAAGCATCTTCCTACATACATATTTCCTATAAATATTCTTGTGCTCCTGTACAGTATAGGGATCTCACATCATCTGTATATTGTATTGTGTGTTCACCACCCCAGGTCAAGTTTCCTTCCATCACCATTTATCACCCTTTTACCCTTTTGTACCTCACCTTACCCCCTTCTCTGATAAATCCCTTCTCCTTTTCACCCACCACACTCCCCTCCCATCTGATTTCTTTTTTGGGGAACCCTCACCCAGGATATTTTTTCCACTGATCCTTAGAGAGGGAAAGGAGGGAGAAAAGGGGAGAGGGGGAGGGAGGGAGGGAGAGAGAGACAGACAGACACATCAATGTGAGAGACAAATTGATTGGTTGCCTCCCACATGTGGCCCTAGGGCTGGAGACTGAACCTGCAACCCAGGTTTGTGCCCCTGACTGGGAATCGAACCCACAACCCTTTTGTGTGAGGGCTAATGCTCTAATCACTGAGTCACACAGGCCAGGGCCCATATGATTTCTTTTTAATTCAGTTCCCACTAATACTAGTCATCTGTAGATGGAAATCTAGGAGAGATTAAAACCCAAGATATATTAAGGATGTATATTTAAACATAATTTACTAGTAGCTCACTAGAGAGACTAAGCAATAGGAAGGGTACGGATTAGAATTTAGTTATTTTTAAAAGCACCCAGAAGAACCAACCCATTCCTGTGATATGGAGATGAATAAAGCCAGCTTTCTATTTCTGATTTACCATCTAAACTTGGAAGTTTATGCCCGGCAGGTTTGGCTCAGTGGATTGAGCGTCAGGCCCGTGGACTGAGAGGTCCCAGTTCAATTCCTGGTCAGGGCACATGCTCAAGTTGCAGGCTCTGATCCTCAGTGGGGGCCTGCAAGAGGCAGCCGATCAAGGTTTCTCTAACATCAATGTTTCTATTTCTCTCTCACTTCCCTTCTCTCTAAAAAAATCAATAAAAACATATTTAAACTTGGAAATTTAAAGACAGAACATTTTCTGAACAATGCCAGAATAGCAGTGTGTCTATATCAGTACTAATCAGGAGACAGAACCAGATGGACTTTGCAGGGACAACTAGAGCACAATTACCTGTCTTTCTCCCTCCACCGGACCGTCTTTAAGGCCAAACCATAGCTGCTTGGATAGAACTGTGATGAAAACAAAGATTTGTGTTCCCTTAGTAACTAGGTAACATCTACCCGTGAGAACAGAAAACTGTTCCTCAGATATCCTCTGGGATTTCATCCCAAAAACCACTCAGGGTTGAGTTCTAAGAAAGCTGAAGATAGATGGATTACTATATTTACTACCCTAACCTTTCCTCTGTAATTCTTGTATGTACTATCTTCTTATATATAAAACTTTATATTCTGTTTTGCCCCTACTACCTGAACATTTTTTCATGTCATTAAGATTTGTACAAAAATCCCCACTCTTAGCAACTTAACTATTGTATGGGTATACCACAATATAGTCATTTTCCTAATGATGGACATTTAGACAGTTTCCAGGGTTTTTATCATTATAAATAATGATGTGATGTCCATCCTTTTTTTTTTTTTTTCTTTTATCCTCACCCGAGGACATTTTTCCTTTTTTTTTTTTGTTCAGGTAGAGTGGGAGGGAGAGAGAGTAACAGAGAGAGAGAGAAACATCGACATGAAAGGATCACATCGAGTGGCTGCTACCCGCACGACCGACCAGGGCCGGGGACAAACTGAAACCAAGGTACGTGCCCTTAGCGGAAACCGAACCCGGGTCTCTCTGGACCACAGGCTGATGCTCTAACCGCTGAGCCAAACCGGCCAGGGCATGATGTCCATCCTTATATATGCAAGTCCACATCTGATTATATCCTTGGAACAGACTCTTAAATAGAATGACTGCACATAAGAATTTCAAAGGTTCTGCTAAACTGTCTTTCAGAAAGTCCACCACCAGCTCACATCTCCCTTTCTTCCCCAAGCAATGTACAAAAGTACTGTACCCATAGCAATATTAAGCACACCTTTGAAATAAGCATAAACACCCTCAATAGAACACATAATCTTGAAAACTATTTTATAATACAATACAATCCCCGCCTTGCTTTCTCCCACCTCCAGTCTTCCTGACACTCCACTCCCTCCTTAATTTCAAATGTATAAAAGAAGCTGCACAACTTCTCTGGAGCATGTGAGCTCTTGCTTCTGGGCAACTGTTTGGCTCACATAAATTCTTTTTTTTTTTTTTTTTTTATCCTCACCTGAGGACATTTTTCTATTTTTTGTTCAGGTAGAGTGGGAGGGGGAGAGAGGAAGAGAGAGAGAAACATCGATGTGAAAGGGACACATCGAGTGGCTGCCACCCGCACGACCAACCGGGGCCGGGGACAAACTGCAACCGAGATACATGCCCTTAGCGGGAACCGAACCTGGTCTCTCGGGACCACAGGCTGACGCTCTAACCGCTGAGCCAAACCGGCCAGGGCTCACATAAATTCTTATAAAAATTCTCTACAGGTTCAAATGATTCTTACGTTGACATTTGCTGTCAAAATAAATACCCACCTAGGTATTATAACAACACATTTCATATGCTATGCCTAAGATTAAAAGTCTAATTTTTAATCAGTATTAAGGTATAATTTACATTAAAGAGCTAATTTTGAATCAAGTTAAAATTTTAGGAAGGACTCATTTGGGGGGAGAGGAGGTGGCACACTGATTACATTGAATCAATATTAAAAATAAGCCTGATTTATAATCCATATTTTAAAAACCTCTTAGTAGTCAATAAGTCATAACATATACATGTATTTGAAGGGGACTAAATTACAAGCAACAGATAAAATTATATTACTGTAATAAAAATACTATCTTTGTGATGTACTCAACAAAGCCAAAGCCAAAGCCCTGCCTACTTCCCTCTGCCCTTCCCATCCTTTTTTTTTTTAAATAAAGGAAGCATTCTTTCTGTTAGTGATAGGATCCTAGGCTAGGATATCCAACACTTGCTGGCTCTCCTTGACTGTTACATTCTAGCAGGTGGTTCCGCTGATAAACTGTTTAAAAGTTCAAGTGCTTCTGTTTATAATTATAAATACTCAGACAGCCTAGTCTCAATTCTCAGAAAGGTGCTAGAAAGATCTGCCAGCGAGACAGCACTTGTGTTAAGAGCAAACAGGAATCCCTCGCCAATTACCAGCCTAAAATCATGAGGCCTAAGCTACTAACAGAATTTTCTTTAAAAAAAAAAAAAAAAAAAATTTTTTTTCTTTATTGGTTTTAGAGAGGAAAGGAGAGGGAGAGAGATAGAAACATGGATGAGAGAGAACATCGACTGGCTGCCTCCTGCATGCTCCCTACTGGGGAGTGGACCCACAACCTGGGCATGTGCCCTGACCAGGAATCAAACTGGCAGCCACTTGCTGCATGGGTCCATGCTCAACCACGGAGCCACACCAGCCGGGCTTAATTCAATTTTCTTAGCTCAGGGAAGGACAGACCTCACAGCTGACACAGCCATTCAGTACTGAAAGTCCTGTGATTCTGGGTAACTTCCCTTTAGGTAAACCAGTTATGATTTTTTTCTCCTGTTGCTCAACTGCTCCTCGCTCCATATAGAACCCTTCCTTGCATTATGTTTAAGGGACCTCAAAATGGTAGTACTGTTAAAACTCAACTGCATATGTAGGTCAATTCTAAATTAAAAGCTAAGGTAACACTGCTTCTGGAAAATCAGAGTAGTCATTTTCTGATAGAAAATTAGTATAATTTAGTAAGGCAAAATGGAGCTATGAAATTGTGTGATCAGCCCAGCCAGTGTGGCTCAGTGGATTGAGCGCCACCCTATGGACTGAGAGGTCTCAATTCAATTTCTGGTCAGGGCATATGCCAGGGTTGCAGCCTTGATCCCCAGTAGGGGGCATGTAGGAAGCAGCTGATCAATGTTTCTCTTACAATCGATGTTTCTATTTCTTTCTCCCTTCCTCTCTCTAAAATATCAATAAAGCCCTGGCTGGTTTTGGTCAGTGGTTAGAGTGTCGGCCCGCAGACCAGAGAGACTCGGGTTCGGTTTCCGCTAAGGGCATGTATCTCGGGTGCAGTTTGTCCCCAGCTCTGGTTGGGGTCATGTGAGTGGCAAACAGTCTATGTGTCTCTCTCACATCGATATTTCTCTCTCTCTTCTGTCTTCTCTCCCTCCCGCTCTATCTGAAGATAAATGCAAAAATGTCCTCGGGTGAGGATAAAAATAAAAAATATCAATAAAAACATATATAAAAAAAAAGAAGTTGTATGATCATACTAATGTAACAAGGCAAGGACAATTAGGAATAAGTCACCCCTAGAAACTATACCCAGACGATAACAGGGCAGTCAGGAAGTCTTCAAATAATTACCCTGGAAAACTTTGGCATTAAATACTGCTCCTTTTGCCATCTTTACTTCTTAGGGAAAATTAAGCAAAGTAGGAGAGTGTATTAGATTTCTATTGTGGCTGCCACAAATTATCAAATTTAACATCTTAAAAATTGCAAATTTATTTCTTACAGTTCTGTGGAAGTCAATATAGGTCTCACTGGGCTAAAATCAAGGTGTCATCAAGACTGTATTTCTGCCGGGCCAGTGTGGCTTACTGGTTGAGCACTGACCCATGCACCAAGAGGTCACCAGTTCAATTCCCAGTCAGGGCACATGCCCAGGTTGTGGGCCAAATCCCCAGTAGGGGCCATGTAGGAGGCAGCCAATCAATGTTCTCTCTCACTGATGTTTCTCTCTCTCTCCCTCTCCCTTCCTCTCTCTTTAAAATCAATAAATAAGAAAAATAAAAGGCGGTGTTCCTTTCTGGATGTTCTACAGGAGAATCCATTTCCTTGTTGGTTCTAGCTTCTAGAAGCTGCTCACGTTCCTTGGTTCATGTCTCACCTCCTCTACCTTCAAAGCCAACAATGTTGCATCTCTCTGTGCCTTCGCTCCCCCAGCAAACATAGGGAGCCACCCTCTGACTCTCCCATTTTTTTTCCTTTCTATCTTTATTTTTATCCTCACCCGAGGATATTTTTGCATTTATCTTTAGATAGAATGGGAGGGAGAGAATAAGGGACAGAGAGAGAAACATCGATGTGAGAGACACATTGAGTGGTTGGTTGCCACCCACATGACCCCAACCGGGGCCTGGGACAAACTGCAACTGAGGCACGTGCCCCTAGCGGGACCCAAATCCAGGACTCTCTGGTCTGTAGGCCAACGCTTTAACCTCTGAGCCAAACCGGTCAGGGCAACTCTTCCATTTTTAAAGGACACTTGTGATTACACTGGGTCTAGACAATCCAAGATAATTTCCCTACATCAGAGGCAGCTCATTAGCAACCTTAATCTGTCTTCAACCTTAATCCCCACTTGCATTGTAAACTAACACATTCACAGGTTCTGGGATTAGGACATGGATATCTTGGGGAAGGGGCAATTATTTTGTCTATTATAGGCAGCAACTCCTCTCCCACACCATGTTTCAAAATGGTATACATGCACTGCACTAAAAGCTTCTGTGCTTGTCACACTGAATAGCCATAGGATTTAAAATTTTTATTGATTGATTTTAGAGAGAGAGGAAGGGAGGGAGAAGGGAGAAGAGGGGCAGAGGAAGAGAAAGAGAAGAAGGGTCGGGGAGGAGGAGGGAAAAAGAGAGAGAGAAAGAGAGAGAGAGAAAAACATCATATTGTTGTTCCACTTATCTATGAATTCACTGATTGATTTTTGTATGTGCCCTGACCTGGGAACCTGCAACCCTGGCATATCGGGATGACACTAACCAATTGAGTAACCCGGCCAGGGTAGACTTGGGCATAGGTGCATCTTACTCTACAAACTGGGTAAATAAATGATTAACCCAAATGACTTCACAGTATTACCCCTCTTGTACCTTAAGGAGTTAAAGTAGGGGTTCGTATCCTAGGGTCCGTGAGTCACAGAATTCAGAAGAGGTCTATAAATTTAGAAGGGAATAAAACTACAATTCCACTTTCTTTTCTTTTTAAACTTTTTTTTTCTTTATTGATTTTGAAGAGAGAGGAAGGGAGGAGAGAGAGAACATCCACTGGCCACTTCCTGCATACGCCCCACTGGGGACTGGGCCCGCAACCTGGGCATGTGCCCTGATGGGGAAC